TATTTTGGCAACTTTTATTCCAAAGAATTATCCACTTTTTCACCTAGACATTAATCTTCCCCATTGACAGATATGTTTTATCTAATTAGTAATTTAGAAGAACTAAAAATGTGGTCCTCAGAAGTACTTTATTGTTCTGCTGTTGTTGACTATAATACTTGCAGGCATTGGAAATTCTATGTACGAATGAGTTGTTAGTTCTTGAAACCAAATGAGCCACAAGCCAAGTTCAAGGTGTAATTTAATGGCAGTTGACAACCCATATCTTGACATACACTTGGATTTGATCACTAACGCAGAGGTAGCTTTTACCTTATCTTTTTGTTCAACATAGATCGTTAAAATTAGATTTTAAAGCATAGAAACTACATTGGAAAAAATTCAAAGGAATGACAGCAGCAATTTTGTTAATGAACCACACTCTTTATGTCTCAAAGGCAGCATAAGCTATGTAATAAGCTATGTATCTATTTGTAAAACAGTCTAGAGTTAAGGAGCTTATTCAGATGCCATTGCAAAAATAATTTTCTGAAATTGTGGTCTATCAACAGGAGATAAGATGGACTTTGTTGTTGCCTGCTGAGGCCCATTATGAATATTCTGTTTCAGAGCAAATCACATGTAAATACAATGCTCATAGTTATTTATTCCCACAATAGCATTTTGGCAAAGGTGCAGTTTCATAATTTGACTTAGCATTGATAGCACACCATCATTTCCTAGCTCTTTATAACCACTAGTTAATTCATACATCCTTGGGAAATTATTTGTTTATACCAGACCCATTTTAAAATGAAATTACCAAATGTATAAAGATAATGCAACTTGCCAAAGGCTAACCAGGGACAGAGATGTGATTAACCTTTGGTGTCCTTTCCTTCACACATCTGACTAGGAATTTCTGAACACTTTAAACATAGGTGTGTTACCAATAAAGATTAAAGAGCTATATTAATGATTCTATTACAGGCAGGAAACTTTGTTGAAAAAATATCTAAGTCATTCAATATTTAAATGTAAATAGGACTTGGCATAAATGATCATATTAATTGTACTTTTCTCCTTTTTAGTTCTCCTGAGCCATGTTTTTGTTAAAACAAATGATTAATGGGTAGATTAGTATCTAAAGTTGTTTAGCTGATTCCCAGCATTAATTGAGAAATGTCTAGTATTTCTATACACAATGATAAAAAGAGAACTGGAACTGTCATCCCTCACTGTTGTAATTATATCTTTCCTGGGATTGACCTTGAGGTTTAAACTATTCATGTTTCTTATCAATATTTTTTTAAGGTTTGGCTTATATATTGATTGCACAGGCCCTGAGATTGAGGGTGAACATAAGTTCTTTGTTAAATATTCGTCACAACATACACTTAGAAAAAATATACATGGTAATAAATTTATAGCTCACAACTTGGAAGTTGGTGTAAATTCAGGTATTTTTCCAAAAAATTTTGGATACCAAAATTCTTTCCCTGAATACCCCAACTGTTACCAAAACCCCATTTATTCATTCATTCATTCATCCATCCAAGAAGTATTTATTGACCACCCACAATGTGTCAATTACCATTCAGTGATAAGCAGGAAACAAAATAAACATCATTCCCTGTCCTCATGGTACTTACCTTCTAGAAAAACAGTGGGAAACAAAAGAGATCTGCTACATCTGGAACTATTTTTGTGCTCTCTCTGCCCTTCCTCATTATCTTCACCTGGGGGTTCCAAGGAATGGCCCCTTGCTTCATTCAGACAAGATGCGTATAAAAATAGTCCGGCTGAGGCAATTGTTGGCTAAGCATCAAGTCTGCTCCTGGTTGCTGGTGCTGCCTGCTTGCAACCCTCTGCTGGGGTTCCAGACCCTCTATGATTCAGACCTCAGCTGAGCTACTCTTGTTTCCCTAGGTCACCCAATCTCCCTGCACACCTGGTATCCACTGTCTTGTTCTAACTTTAGGTTTTGCCTTCTTGGCCTATTATTATAGGTCCCAGTCAAACAACTTTGACTCCTTCAGGACTTGAGTGGTTTTGGGAAATAGTAGACATGGACAGAGGGAATATGTGGCTTGCAAAGCTTCCCAGGATGGGCAGCGGTTGCTTTAAAAAGGATGTGTTGGCCAGAAGTCAGCTCAGTAGGGGATTCATATATAGGAATCTCTCAGTGGGGGACTAAATCCAGTCAGCTCTGACTTTTTAGAGTTCATTTATCATCCTAGCACCCACTTTACCAGCACTTCAAGTGACACAAATCAAACAGAAAGGATGTAAAGAAACTATAGAAATCTTTTGTACCTCATTATTTCTAGCCAAGGTATAAAAAATAATAGTTCTTCAATAAAAATATTCACAACTAAATAAATGTTACCATCCCATCTTCATCTTTTCCCACAAAACACCTCCATGCACTTTCTGAATGTGACTAGTGGCATAAGAAATAGAAAGAGACATTCTTAAGGAGACTTCAACAGAGCTTGACCAGTGAGAGAATTTGAGGGGAGATGGAGACTGGGACATTAATGATTAAATCACCTCCATGGTCGGACCTGAAAAACCAGTAACATAAATAGTAAAAAAAAAAAATCACTAGGTCCCATTTCAGGCATTTTGAGATGCTTTTGAAATATATATACAACATTCTATAGCTTTTAAAGTAAGATGATCAATTTCAATGCTATGAACAGCAGTTAAGGGAAGAGAACCAGAGTTAACTTGTCAAACCTGTTCTGTAGCCCTGTCAAGGATGGCAAATATGTTTGCTATCACAGTATACCTCTGATAGATTGGTGGTACCTTCTGTACTACACTTGAGAAATCTCCCTGAGAAGGAGCGGTATCGTTGACCGCTCTGCCTGCTGTGGGCCTCAGGGAAAAGAGGCAGCACAGGCGGCCACAGACCCACGATCTTTAACCCATATGCAGATGTGCCCTGTTTTGGGAATGGGCTAACCATAGAAGGGTAGAGAAGAGTTTATTTGGAACAAACACTTTTGTTAATGAAATAAAAAAGCATGCATATTTATTTTTCTTGAGTACAGATATCAAGAGAATTTTAAAATATCATTGTTATGTAAGTCTAATGACAATTTTTAGATTAGTTTCTTTGTATTAAATAAAGTCTAATGTGTGTATTCTATAGTTACCTTTTAAAAATTCAATATTGGCAGATTTTTAAGAAAATATTATTTTTATAGTTCTAAGTAAAACTTTTCTCTGAGATTTGGCAAATCCCATATTCTGTCTTGCACAATCGGCCTTTTAAGGAGATACGTATGGGCACTGAAGCTGCATATGTATGATGGAACCATGGTGTATATTTTTCCCTTAAATAAATACTTGGAAAAAATAAGAAAATAAGTAACCCATAATCCTACCACTCACAGATAATGCTATCTATATTTTCATGTATCTTCTTTAGCCTATTTTCTTTACATTTAGAAGTATACATATATTTTAAAAAATTGAGTTGATTTTGTAAACATGCTTTTTATCCTACCACTTTCTCTTAAATTTACATTTAAAGAATTATTTAGGACCTCAAATAGTCTTTATAACATGACATTTACAAATCACATTATCATTTCAATATAATAATTTTAATAGAAACTGCTTAGGATATTTAAATTGTTTTCAAATACTCAAAATTGTAAGTTACTCTGAATAATGCTGAGGTGAACATCTGTATGCATCTTTATGATTCTTTGAGAATTTCTTTTGAAGAGGCTTGTAGAAATGTGGTTCCTGAACTAGATAACAGAACAGTATTAAGACTCTTTTTTTTTCAGATTTTTATCATTCATACTTCAGTCAGTGAGTCTCACACTTCTGTAATGTGTTACACCTGTGTTGTTCAATATGGTAGCCACTAGCCATATGTAAAATACATTCACTATCATGATCAATTTCCACTAGACCTTCATTCTTCCCAGTTCTCCCCACAAGTAATAGAGTAGGGTTAGAGTTACAGTTTTTGACTGTTGAATGCATGGTGAACAAATCTGTAACCATAACCTCAGTAATACTATTTTCTATGTTACAGAATCTGATGTTATCTACAAGACTGGGTATAAATAAATTCAAAGAGACAACATGCTATTTAAGACAACTAACATGTTATAAAGAAATACTTATGTATAAAAATATAATCAAGAGCATCAATTAGGTTTAAAAAGCAGTTGTTACCTTAGCACCCATTAGGAAATCAAACAATGGAATGCATTCACTGATGTGTTTTTTACAACTATACCTTGATACACTTATGTAATTGAAGGTGATAAATACAGTAGAAATGTAATATAGTGTTGTTGGGAGCACTGACTGGGTGTTAAAGTCAATGAGATACTGTTTATCATTGGATTCCAATTGAATATGATTTGCTCTGTAATAGTTGCATCTGAGACCACATATTAGGGTGTTTGATAAAGAGGTTTTCTTATTTTTCAAAATTAATAACCATTTTATCCAAAAGTCCCAATAAGGAAAATTAGATAAATTAAAACAAATGGTTTTTACACACTACTCTGGTCAACAATTTGACACCCAAAGTCCTCTTGAGGAAATTCTCTTTCTGGTTTGCAGGAGCTGTGGGAGACCATTAACATCATGAGCCCAGTTACAAGAAACGTTGATCTCTAAAATGTCATGGTCTCACACCCTATAGGTGCTCATGATCTGACTTAAAACAACACACACAGGCCCAATTATAGGACAAGTCAGTTCCAAGCATTTCACCCACTTACAAGCACAGGAGCTATTGTATTCACCACCGGAGAAAGCTTCTGGGTAGTCACTGAAATTAGACAAATGACATGGTAACCCAAGGTGAATAGTGGGGTTAAGCCTTTGACACCAAAAACAGTTGGGTATGGTGCGGCCATAAACATGGGGGAAATTTCAGAATTTTAACAGGTAAGCAAAAACAGAAAGGCCTCAACTAGTTCAGGTAAGTGAAACTGCCTGATTGCCAAAAGTTGTTTGTTTCGTTTTGTTTGTTGTCCCTGAGGCGGTGCGCCATTCCCAGAGGTGCCACATTTACCAGGCCAATGACCGGCAAGGATGGAGCAAGCTCCTGTTCTACCTCCCTGCTCCAAAAATCCATGTACTATATTGTCCTCAGAGGATGTATCTGATGTTAAACTGATAAGAACAGATACCTAAACTTGATCTTAGCCAAAGGCTGAGACGTGATCAAAAGAAGTTTTTCAAAGGAAACTTCCACAGAACTCATTTGCCCAAGAGGAGTATATAAATATCAACTGATACAGTTGTACCCGAGCCACAGCTGAGAGCTTGATTAGCTGGGAAACAACACAGTTAAATGACATTGTATTCTTCATAGTTATCACTCCAATTTCAGTGTCTGCCTCATGAAGTACAGGAGTTACACTGAAATTGTGTATGCTAAGGAATGCCACTGTGTTAGCTCCCAGGAAAATTATTAAACTCTATTAAGTAATTGTCACTTTTTTCTCTCAAGGTTAGATTTCAACTTCCATTTTTGTGTTGGTTGGGAACATTTCCTTTGTTGCTTGGTTATGTATTTTGAGAAAGAAAATTCATTGGCACTTGCAGAGGCTTAGAACATAAACCAACATTAGAAGTAATGGAAACACAGCTGAAAGTTTTTCTTTAATCAGAAGTTCATAACTACAGATTTATTTGCATATCTTAGAAAGCCAAAAAGATGTTAAATTTTGTAAACAGTCAACAAAAATATGTCACAGATTTTAATGTTCATAATTTAGAATTTACCACTTAAATATATTTATAAATATATGCTTTATTTGCAAAATTATTATTCTTAAAACATTTCTTCCAACATGTTTGAAATTTTCATATATGTTTTAAGGAAAAGAACCCACCCTATTTAAAAGTGTACTACTAAATTTTAATGCGTGATTAAACCAGTGTCAAGAATGGAAAAGGAAAAAAAAGAAACATAATGCTGTGTTAGGTATGTAGTTGTTACCACAATAATAACACATGTCCTATAAAGTGATCACATACATGCTCTTGTTTCACTTCTCATTGTCAGAACCATTTGGAGGTAAGAAAACCAATGTGTCACTGAAAATATCCCCAAATGCCCTAAGACAGTACACCCCATACATCATCACATGCATTTGATTAGGAGTCAGTCCATTTAGAGTAACAGCCATATCTGAACAACACCTTTCTACTACCAAGTTGGGTTGATTAGTCATTGCCTCTTTAATAAAAAACCCAGCAGATTGGTATGAAATACATCTTTTTCTTCAAAATCTTCTTCATTTTCTGTAATCCCTCCGGCATATTTCAGGCAGGCTGCTAGCTGCTTATCTTCAGATACTTCCAAATCATCCTTCCCTGTTCAGGACACTTTTCAGGGATACTGAGAAGGCTGTTAAGTCTTTTCATTGATTCTATACTTAAGACAATTCCTCCTTCCACATTCACATATTCAAGGTCTCCAGATTTTACAGGTGGCCTAGGGAGAAAGATTGTGATGGATCCTTTTTTTAACAAAAAATACTTTTAAGTTTTCAATATTAGCAAACATTGAGGGGTGTGCAAGGAAGAACCAGTTGTACTGGTCTCTGTATTTATCAAAGACATATTTGTAAGCTTTTTTCATCATTAGCCACATGTCATTTTTTTTTCCATGTTAATTGACTCAAACACTTCTAACATTTTCAGAACTGAAGAAGTCCTCTTTGTCACAGTGTTTGATCCAAGTCTCCTTCACTGCAGCCCAAAGACTCACATCCTCAGGTTTTACAAGGATGATACCATACACCGGAAAGCTCTTACTGAGCTCCATGTGTTCATTCTCTGAAATTTTCAAGATATCTTCTTTATTAGGAGCTTGTGGGTGGTGATGCTCATGGAGGTACATTCAATTTCCATAACCAATCCTAACGTGCCGTAGCACAGTGACCAAGGCACAGAAAATGCTTCCCAGGATCACACCCTTGAAAAATGAACTGCTTTCAGGAAGCATTTTTTCCACATCTAGAATGACCCAGGAATGGGAGAAAGCGTGGCTGCGCATGGCTTTGCTCTCACTCGCTTGCTCCTTGGTTGTGCTTCTGGTTGGGCTGCCCTAGATGTGGGTGGTGTCCTCTGGTTGGTTTTGCTAAGAGTGGGGAGAGCCGGGAAGTGGACGCCATGAAGACAAGGCAGCGGGGCCAAGACTCTTGATATAAGTTGCTGCCATGCTTGAGAGGGTAATTCTTGGGATGGGGAAGTTGATGACATTTACTTTAAAACCACAACTACATTTCCAAAGAAATTGATGTTTTTAAGACAGCATTGATATTTAAAATCATGAGTTGGCTCTTTCTAAAAAGGACCAGGTGGTAAATATTTTAGGCCTCCTTGGCAAGACAGTCTCAATCTCAACTGCTCAGCCCCTCCAATACAGCGTGAAAGCAGCCAGAGACAATAGGTAAACAAATGAACATGTCTGTGTTCCAATAAAACTTTATTTACAAAAACAGGCAGTTGGACAGATTTGGTCTGCAGGCCCTAGTTTGCCAACACCTCTCTTAGTTGAAGATTCTGCTCTTCTGTGAATTTATGGTTACCAAGAATTAGAAGCTGTGCTTTGCTGGGTTCCCTTTATGAAAATAGGAGCTTGTGGGCTCGTGAATACCTAGGGAGGGGAGTAAATCTACTTTTATTACAAAGCAATTTTGAGTGAACTAAGCATGGAAGCTATGAATCAACCTGTTGTTTCAACACATGCATGGAGAAATCTTTAAAGTTAGACTTCTGTTTGCCCTGATTGGATGGCTATACGTCTGCCCTGCATCTTTTCTTAGTGTGCTTTCTTGAGAAATTCACTCTGATTCCCACAAAAGTACTCACACCTACATGTACAAACTTTGCTCAATATTGATTCAGTCAGGGGCTCCGTCGCTCATTAATTCCAGCATTGCTACAAAATTCCTGGGGAAACAAAGCTGAAGCTACAAGGAAAAAAAAAATGTTTTGAGAGATAGCATTGTTCTCATGAAACCTACCCAATGGAGAATGTTTTCCCCAGATGTTAAACATACAATTGTTTTTCTCCAGGTGACCCTTTGTAGAGCAGCTAAAAGGCATCATTGACTACCTTTAAAAAAGGTGCAAAACACAAAAAGAATAAACCAAATATAATCTCCTAAATAATGCTATTATCTCATAGATCATTATCAATTAGCTATCAAGGAAACTTGTAAATTGACCACAGGGATAAAACATGTTTTAGCATATTATTTTAGTGGTTGTCTACCTCCCTCCCAAAGGTGCTTTGAATTCAGAATTTTTGTGGTAAAATAGAAAATGAAGGAAGTTGTGATCAGTGACTGGTGGAATCTTACTTAGGTGTGTGTGGACGCACACACATAGACAGACACACACACAGACACACAGCCTTCTGACCCCAAGAATACAAGGTAGCCACCTTGGTAAACACACCTCTGAGTCCAGCAGTGGTTTCATGCCCATTGTTTCTGTCTTTTTGATTTATGCTAGAGAAACAATGGCAGAAACAATTGTCTCTGCCAATAATAGATGTATGTTTGCTGGTGAGCTAAAGCAAGTAACAAAGAGTTGGGGGAAAAATGGATTTGACCTTAACAAATTAATATGAACAATAACTTTGCTGCATACACTTGTATAACAGCTGCAGTTACAATTTTGATTAGAAATACTTTCTCACTTAAAGATCCCAAGTTGTGTTCCCATCATAAGCTTTTGGGGATAATACACATTTTTAAAGATATGTAGAATAACCCTGGCTGGTATAGCTCAGTCGGTTGGAGCATCGTGCCATAGACCAGAAGGTCACAGGTTCAATTCCCAGTTGGAGTGCATATGAGAAGGCAACCAATCAATGTTTCTCTCTCACAGTGATGTCACTCTCTCTCTTTCTTGCTCTCTCTCTCTTTCCCTTCCTCTCTCTCTAAAAGCAATGGAAAAATGTCCTCAGGTGAAGATAAAAAATAATAATAATGATTAATTAAAAAATAAAAATGTGTGGAATGTTATATACACACATACACTGCTCAGTAGCTAGATGAGAAAACAACCACAGATTTATATTCTTAACCCTTCTTTTTAATGAAGGAAGAAACTAGAGTTTTAACAGTGAGTGATTTGCCCAGTGAGTGGATGTATGATGCAAACTCAGTTCTCCTGGTTCCTCACCTATTCGCAGTTCCTCTTCAGCCATGTGTCTTTCCTGTTTGTTGTCTGTTCCAGGTGGTACATATTAAGGAGATAGTGCTTTGGAGTATACACATCCCTTTTCTTGCTAGTCCATCAACGGGTTCATAACTTACTCTGTATCATTCTGAAGGATAGAGCAGAGACCAATGGGTAGAAACTATTGTCCTAATTCACCACAGCAAACCTTCTACTTTCATAAAATATGATTTTCCAAGGCATGTCCAGATTCAATTTTGAGTTATTTTAACTTGAAAGATTGACACATTTTAAAATAAAATGGTTTTAGTATATTATATGTGTTTGCACAAATGCATCACAACACATTACATTAGTTGTTATCCCTCTAAATATGAGACAGTAAATCTTCAGAATGAAATTACCAATGAAGTCACCTGAAGTTGCTTTTTCCCACTATTCTCCCAGTCCTGTGGATTGAGACATTGTAACATCACAATGCTCACTAGTAGATTGTCAGAATACACAATCATGGTATACATTGTTTCATGGAAAAATCACTGTTCAATTTCAAGAAATTTATTTAAATATTTGCATTATTTTAAATCAATCTGGTTGTATGGATGCTTTTGCTTTTTGGGGTTTCATGGCTTAGACTCAAGGCATATGGTTTTCTACTCTATTTATACTCTGGAAACTCCCTTTCCCCCAGAAGCTTTCAATCAGTGCCTGATGTCATCTGGGAGGGGGGCCCTGCATTTCTAAAGATTCAGACCTAGACTGAATTAGGTCCACAAATAAATGGACATGAGCAGATTGCGTGCCTACTGGTTTAGATGGAGTCATTTTCATTTCATTCCCCAGAGCATATAATGAAAGGCACAGCTCATCTCAAAGCTAAGTTTGCATTGGATAGTGGCACTGAGACGGCTGCTGAGGGAAAATCATCAGGTAGCAGAGTTCTGGTGCCCCTGGGTGCTAAAGAGCAAACTGACTGAGGAGTCAACAATCGGTTAGAAGAAAATATTCCAGCCAGGAGGG